GGCCTATTGGCCTATTGGCCTATTGGCCTTCGCCTAATCACCTATTCGCCTATTCGCCTATTCGCCTATTGGCCTATTGGCCTACTGGCCTACTGGCCTACCGGCCTACTGGCCTACTCGCCTACTCGCCTACTCGCCTACTCGCCTACTCGCCTACTCGCCTACTCGCCTACTCGCCTACTCGCCTACTCGCCTACTCGCCTACTCGCCTACTCGCCTACTCGCCTACTCGCCTACTCGCCTCCTCGCCTACTCGCCTCCTCGCCTACTCGCCTATTCGCCTATTCGCCTATTCGCCTACTGGCCTACTGGCCTACTGGCCTACTGGCCTACTCGCCTACTCGCCTTCTCGCCTACTCGCCTACTCGCCTACTCGCCTACTCGCATATTCACCTATTCGCCTATTCGCCTAGTCGCCTACTCGCCTACTCGCCTACTCGCCTACTCGCCTACTCGCCTACTCGCCTACTCGCCTACTCGCCTACTCGCCTACTCGCCTACTCGCCTACTCGCCTACTGGCCTACTGGCCTACTGGCCTACTAGCCTACTGGCCTACTGGCCAACTGGCCCACTGGCCCACTGGCCTACTGGCCTACTGGCCTACTGGCCTACTGGCCTACTGACCTACTGGCCTACTGGCCTACTGGCCTTCTGGCCTTCTGGCCTACTGGCCTACTGGCCTACTTGCCTACTGGCCTACTGGCCTACTGGCCTACTGGCCTACTGGCCTACTGGCCTACTGGCCTACTGGCCTACTGGCCTACTGGCCTACTGGCCTACTCGCCTACTGGCCTACTGGCCTACTGGCCTACTGGCCTACTGGCCTACTGGCCTACTGGCCTAGTGGCCTACTGGCCTACTATCCTACTGGCCTACTGGCCTATTCGCCTATTCGCCTATTGGCCTATTGGCCTATTGGCCTACTGGCCTACTGGCCTACTGGCCTACTGGCCTACTGGCCTACTGGCCTACTGGCCTACTGGCCTACTCGCCTACTGGCCTACTGGCCTATTGGCCTGGCCTATTGGCCTTCGCCTAATCACCTATTCGCCTATTCGCCTATTCGTCTATTCGCCTATTGGCCTATTGGCCTATTGGCCTATTGGCCTACTGGCCTACTGGCCTACTCGCCTATTCGCCTATTCGCCTATTCGCCTATTGGCCTATTGGCCTATTGGCCTATTGGCCTACTGGCCTATTGGCCTACTGGCCTACTGGCCTATTGGCCTACTGGCCTACTGGCCTACTGGCCTACTGGCCTACTGGCCTTTTGGCCTATTGGCCTATTGGCCTACTGGCCTACTGGCCTACTGGCCTATTGGCCTATTGGCCTATTGGCCTATTGGCCTATTGTCCTATTGGCCTATTGGCCTATTGGCCTACTGGCCTATTGGCCTACCGGCCTACTGGCCTACTGGCCTACTGGCCTACTGGCCTACTGGTCTACTGGCCTACTGGCCTACTGGCCTTTTGGCCTATTGGCCTATTGGCCTATTGGCCTACTGGCCTACTGGCCTACTCGCCTATTCGCCTATTCGCCTATTCGCCTATTGGCCTACTGGCCTATTGGCCTATTGGCCTACTGGCCTATTGGCCTACTGGCCTACTGGCCTATTGGCCTACTGGCCTACTGGCCTACTGGCCTACTGGCCTACTGGCCTTTTGGCCTATTGGCCTATTGGCCTACTGGCCTACTGGCCTACTGGCCTATTGGCCTATTGGCCTATTGGCCTATTGGCCTATTGTCCTATTGGCCTATTGGCCTATTGGCCTACTGGCCTATTGGCCTACCGGCCTACTGGCCTACTGGCCTACTGGCCTACTGGCCTACTGGTCTACTGGCCTACTGGCCTACTGGCCTTTTGGCCTATTGGCCTATTGGCCTACTGGCCTACTGGCCTACTGGCCTATTGGCCTATTGGCCTATTGGCCTATTGGCCTATTGGCCTTCGCCTAATCACCTATTCGCCTATTCGCCTATTCGCCTATTGGCCTATTGGCCTACTGGCCTACTGGCCTACCGGCCTACTGGCCTACTCGCCTACTCGCCTACTCGCCTACTCGCCTACTCGCCTACTCGCCTACTCGCCTACTCGCCTACTCGCCTACTCGCCTACTCGCCTACTCGCCTCCTCGCCTACTCGCCTACTCGCCTACTCGCCTATTCGCCTATTCGCCTATTCGCCTACTGGCCTACTGGCCTACTGGCCTACTCGCCTACTCGCCTATTCGCCTATTCGCCTATTCGCCTATTGGCCTATTGGCCTATTGGCCTATTGGCCTATTGGCCTACTGGCCTATTGGCCTACTGGCCTACTGGCCTATTGGCCTACTGGCCTGCTGGCCTACTGGCCTACTGGCCTACTGGCCTATTGTCCTATTGGCCTATTGGCCTACTGGCCTACTGGCCTACTGGCCTATTGGCCTACTGGCCTACTGGCCTATTGGCCTACTGGCCTACTCGCCTACTCGCCTGCTCGCCTACTCGCCTACTGGCCTACTCGCCTACTCGCCTACTCGCCTACTCGCCTACTCGCCTACTGGCCTATTGGCCTACTGGCCTACTAGCCTACTGGCCTACTGGCCTACTGGCCTACTGGCCTACTGGCCTACTGGCCTACTGGCCTATTGGCCTATTGGCCTATTGGCCTTCGCCTAATCGCCTATTCGCCTATTCGCCTATTCGCCTATTCGCCTATTCGCTTATTCGCCTATTGGCCTATTGGCCTATTGGCCTATTGGCCTATTGGCCTACTGGCCTACTGGCCTACTGGCCTACTCGCCTGCTCGCCTGCTCGCCTGCTCGCCTACTCGCCTCCTCGCCTATTCGCCTATTCGCCTATTCGCCTATTCGCCTATTCGCCTACTCGCCTACTGGCCTACTCGCCTACTGGCCTACTGGCCTACTGGCCTACTGGTCTACTGGCCTACTGGCCTACTGGCCTTTTGGCCTATTGGCCTATTGGCCTACTGGCCTACTGGCCTACTGGCCTATTGGCCTATTGGCCTACTGGCCTACTGGCCTACTGGCCTACTGGCCTACTGGCCTACTGGCCTATTCGCCTACTCGCCTATTCGCCTATTGGCCTATTGGCCTAGTGGCCTACTGGCCTACTGGCCTACTGGCCTACTGGCCTACTGGCCTACTGGCCTACTGGGCTACTGGCCTGCTGGCCTACTGGCCTGCTGGCCTACTGGCCTACTGGCCTACTGGCAAAAACAGCCAAAAATCATGGGCGCCGAACTTTTCTTTGCGCAAGAGCCAGGTAAAATATGTTCCAATAGGTGTATTTGAATATGAGCCACTCGAATGTGCAAGGGCCTAAACATTTATCAACCAGGGGCCCTTGTTCAAATAGGTGACACTGGTTAACAAGGGCCACTGGTTCAAATAGGTGCCACTTGTTCAACAAGGGCCACTGGTTATGCAGTAAGAACCTGATGTCAGACACAAGGGCCCCTGGCCCTGGTTCATGGGTTCTCTAAACATTTATCGACAAAAACAGCCAAAAATCATGGGCGCCGAACTTTTCTTTGCGCAAGAGCCAAGTAAAATATGTTCCAATAGGTGTATTTGAATATGAGCCACTCGAATGTGCAATAACAATTGGGTTGTTCAATGCCTTTCCCTACGCCTACAGGGATTCATGCGCATCGCAAGCATTTGTCGCCAAAAACAGCCGGAATCATAAGCGTCGAACTTTTCGTTGCGTAAGAACCAAGCCGAAAATGCTTCCATAAGTGTATTTGAACATGATCCACTTGAATATGCAATAACATTCATGTTTTTGAATGCCTTTTCCTACGCCTGTAGAATTTCATTCGCCTTCTAAGCATTTGTCGGCAAAAACAACTGGAATCATAAGCGCCAAACTTTTCTTTGCGCACGAGCTGAAACCGGAGGCCCTGGCTGGGTAGTGTGCTGATGCAGGCTGCTGGTTGCGTAATCAATGATTATGCTGACCGCAAGTTGTATCCTTACGTGCAGTGCACCCCGTTATCATCTGTTGGCCATCCTGACCCAGATTCCGGATTAAAGTTCAATATTATTTACACTCTCGGGTTGTATTAGCCTTTGGTTTGGTATTATTGCTCAACACCCTGTGCCTACTCTTAGCCGTCTTTTTTCCTTTGGAGCGTTGACTCTAGGTATGTTGAATCCAGGGTGCGCTGTATCCAAGGTGCGTTGAATCCAGGGTGTGTTGAATCTAGGGTGCGTTGTATCTAGGGTGAGTTGTATCCAGGGTGTGTTGAATTCAGAGTGCGTTGAATCCAGGGGTGCGTTGAATTCAGGGTGTTCCTTCTATCTGTTCTCCCATCCTCCCATGTGTCTATCGCATCCTCTCCTCTCATCAGCATCACCAAGCTCCTCCCACCTACCGAATTGGTGTCCCTGTGCTACTCCTGACCTGCTGCTGAGGAGGTTTTGCCTGCAGCTGTTTCAAACGTGTCGCGCCAATCGGACGAGCCTCACAACTTGTATGGATGAAGTGTGCTGTATAAATTGCGTAAGGCTTTTAAAAAGGGGTTCTTTTGAAGCATCTCTCAAATGATACGGTGCAGTATCAAATCATTGATGCCCAGTCCGAAGTGCACTGAAATTCAAACTCTAGTCAGCATGCAGGTAATCACATTGTTCGGAGTAGCTCTTATCAAGAAAGGGTTCTGCTTTGCTCTGCTCTGCACCGGCCTTACCACCCCAAGTCTGTGATTCGTGAATCAGGGTGAGCGAATGAGGCGCCAACAGGCACGCACAGCAGGTGCCACCCACATCCAGGGTCACAGCAGGTGCCACCCACATCCAGGGTCACAGCAGGTGCCACCCACATCCAGGGTCACAGCAGGTGCCACCCACATCCAGGGTCACAGCAGGTGCCACCCACATCCAGGGTCACAGCAGGTGCCACCCACATCCAGGGTCACAGCAGGTGCCACCCACATCCAGGGTCACAGCACAGCACAGCACCACTCTGGACTGGCGGCTGTTATGGGTGCCCAATCAAGTGCCCATCTGACCACCCGCCCCACCTGCCCCACCCGCCCCATCCCCTCTCCCTGCCCCGCCTGCTGCACCCGCTCCACCTGCCCCTGCCCCCTTCCCTGCCCCTCCACCCCCTCCTCCCTTCCCACGCCCTGCTGCCGCTGCTCCCCCTCCCCTGCCTGCCCCTGCTGCCCCACCCGCTCCCCTTCCTGCTCCCTTCCCCCCTCCCTTGCCCCCTCCCTTTCCACCTCCTTTGCCCCCTCCCCCTCCGCCCTTCTTCCCCTCGCCTTTCTTTCCCTTCCCAGTACCACCACCAGCAGCACCTTTCACCTCCCCTCCCCCTGCTACTGCACCCCCTGCTGCCACACTGCTAGCCACAGCAGTCGCAGCACCAGCACCAATACCAGCAGCACCCGCACCAGCAGCACCAACACTCCCGGCACTACCACCAGCAGAAGCGCTAATAGTCGAGCCCCTCCCCTTCCCCCCAGCCACACCCGCCACCGGCAGCACCCCACCCCCTCCCCCACCTGTACCCCCGCCCATGCCCCCACCAAACCCCCCATCGCCCACTCCTTCCCCCCCAGCCCCTGCACCAGGCGCGCCCATACCCCCCATGCCCTGCCTGCCCCCCATACCCATCTCCGCACCCCCAGGGCCATGCTGCGGCCCTGCACCCCCCCAGGAAGGGACTCCAGAGGCAGGGATGGACAGGGGCGGCACTCGGGCTGCTGCTGCCGCTGCTGCTGGCCCTGCCAGTGGACCCGAGGCAGGGGACACGGTGGGGGAGGGGAAGGCGAGCGCGTGCGGGAGTGAGGGCGGGTTGCCTGAAGAAGGGAGGCGGAGGGCAGAGAGCGTGGGAGTGAGCGGGGGAGGCATGGTGTGCGGGTGGGAGGAGGGCGAGGAAGGGACGTTGGAGTAGAGGGAGGAGGAGTGAGGGAGAGGAGGGGAGGCTCCACCACTGGCTGTAGCAGCTGCGCCCATTGCAGCAGAGGCGGGCGGAGGGGGGTTGTTGAAGGGAGGGGAGGAGAGGTGCCTTGGGTCCGACACACTAAGCAGCAGAGAGCGGCGTGGGGCCTGCTGGTTCTGCTGCTGCTGCACTCCCTGCTGCCGCTGTTGCTGCTGTTGCAGCTGCTGCTGCTGTTGCTGCTGCAGTTGTTGTTGCTGCTGCTGTTGCTGCAGTTGCTGCTGCTGCTGCTGCTGCTGTTGTTGTTGCTGTTGTTGCTGCTGCTGCTGCTGCTGCTGCTGCTGCTGCTGCTGCTGCTGCTGCTGCTGCTGCTGCTGCTGCTGCTGCTGTTGCTGCTGCTGCTGCTGCTGCTGTTGCTGTTGCTGCTGAATCTGCTGCAGCCGCTTCTGTTGCTGCTGCTGCCGGCGCCGTCGCTGCTGCGGTTGCTGCTGCTGCTTCCGCTGGGCGGCAGAGAGGGGGGAAGCGGACGGGCCGCTGCCGGCCGTGTCAGCAGGGGTGCCGCTGAGAGAAGATGATGACACGTTGGGGGAACTCTGCTGCTGCTGTGGTTGCTGTTGCTGCTGCTGATGCTGTTGCTGCTGCTGCTGCTGTTGCTGCTGCTGCTGCGATTGATGCTGCTGTTGCTGTTGCTGTTGCTGCTGCAGGTACTGCTGCTGCTGGTGCAGCAGCAGCTGTTGCTGCTGGAAGGTGGAGGCACCAAGGGGACTGTCGGAGGAGGCCAAAGAGCCCGACACATGCATCCCCATGCCGCCCTGCCCCATGCCGCCCTGCCCCGAGTTGCCTTGCCCCATGCGGCCTTGCGTCCCTCCTCCTCCCATCCCTCCTCCTCCCATCCCTCCTCCTCCCATCCCTCCTCCTCCCATCCCGCCTCCTCCCATCCCTCCTCCTCCCATCCCTACTCCTCCTCCCATCCCTCCTCCTCCCATCCCTCCTCCTCCCATCCCCCCTCCTCCCATCCCTCCTCCTCCCATCCCTCCTCCCCCCCCTCCCATCCCTCCCCCCCCTCCTCCTCCTCCTCCTCCTCCTCCTCCTCCTCCTCCTCCTCCTCCTCCTCCTCCTCCTCCTCCTCCTCCTCCTCCTCCTCCTCCCCCTCCTCCCATCCCTCCTCCTCCCACCCCTCCTGCTCCTCCCATTCCTCCTCCTCCCATCCCTCCTTCTCCCATCCCTCCTCCTCCCATCCCTCCTCCCATCCCTCCTAACCCAACTATCCCATCGCCTACCATTTCCCCCCTTCCCGCACTTGTCCTCCTTATTGCTCCACCCATTCCGTCTACTCCCCCTACAAGTGCCCCCATCCCTTCCGCCATGCCCATGTTCATCCCCCCACCTGGCCCCATTCCCCCGCCTGCCCCCATCCCCCCACCCGACCCCATGCCAGCAGCACCAGTGAGGCCCCCAGCTGCTGCAGCCGCCACAGCTGCTGCCGCTGCTGCCAGCGCTGCCGCCACCGACTCACTCCCCCCCATCTCCCCCATCCCACTCATTCCCCCCATTCCCCCCATGCCCTCCATACCCCCTACAGCCCCAAAACCCCCCATTCCCCCCATCCCCCCCACCGCGCTCATCCCCCCGAGTCCAGCCATCGCACCTGTCCCCCCCAACCCATCCATTCCTCCACCAACCATACCTCCACCACTGCCCATGCCACCCATCCCTCCCATTGCTCCCATCGCCCCCATCCCACCCACAGCACCTGCAGCACCGGTCCCACCCGGGCCACCCATATCGGTGGGTGCAGCAGTGGGGGCGTGGGGCAGGCCGAGGGACGCAGCAAAGGCAGCCACGGCTGCTGGTGGTAGGGGCGGGCGCGTGGGCTGTGAGGGGCAGCGGAGGAATGAGGCCAGTGATGCTGGCGTGCTGGGAGTGGGAGGGCATGGGGCGGGGTGGGGCATGGGAGCGAGGAGAGGCGTGGGGTAAGGGTGAGGGAGTGGGGCTTTATAGAGATTTAGCAGAGAGATGGGTGGTGCTGGAAGCAACAAGTAGATGGGCACTGGGCAGAGGGAGAGGAATAGTCATGATACGAGCACACCGCATGCACGGCATACACGAGAGGAGCATATTGATAAGAGCATACCCCGTAAGAGCATACACCGTAAGAGCATACCCCGTAAGAGCATACACCGTAAGAGCATACCCCGTAAGAGCATACCCCGTAAGAGCATACCCGATAAGGGGATCAGCCCCAGACAGCATCATCTCTACTGCCGCCATCTGCATCGCCTGCTGCCGCCGCTCCTCCCCCTCCCCCTCCCCCTCCCCACCCACGCCATCCCCCTCCCCTTCCATCACAACCCCGTCCCCCACACTCCCCACTCTCCCCACGCCTCCCCCCACGCCCCCCACACCCCCCACGCCCACGGCAGCGAGGTGCAGCAGGTCACAGCGGTCCAGGCAGGCCCTGAGGGAGCGGCCCATGCGGGAGAGGCGGTGGGAGAGGGCGTCTGTGAGCACACACAGGGAGCTGTCTGCCGCGCCCTCACACCCCATCTGCTGCAGCGCCCCCGCCACACACGCCTTCAGCCGCGCCCTCGCCCGCTCCTCTCCCTGCTGCTCCTCCTCCTCCTGCTCCTCCTGCTGCTGCTCCTCCTGTTGCTGCTGATCCGCCTGTTTCTGCACTCCTGCTTTTCTCCCCCAGCCCCCACCCCCACTCCCACGCCCACCCGCTCCCCCACGCGCGCCTCCCTGCGTGCGCCAGGGGCAGTGGAGGTGCCAGGGCGGGCGGGCAGAGGCCACCACAGGGTCGGGCACGGCATTAGCCAATGCCTCCATGTCCCAGTCGTCAGGGCACACGCCCTCTCTCTCCCTCTCCTTCTCCCTCTCCCTCTCCCACGCACCCTCCGCTTCACCGCCCCCCTCTCCCTCCTCTCCTTCCACGCGTCCCTCCCTCCGCTCATTCTTCTTCTGCTGCTGCCGCTGCTGCTGCTGAATGAGACGAGCCATGCCGGCCGCTGTGCGCACGAGCGCCGCCCGCTCGCGGAAGGGCTTGGAGGAGTGCTTGGCGCGCTTCACAGCATGCAGCAGCCGCCACTGCCGCCGCTGCCGCCGCCTCTCCTCCCGCCTCCCCACCTCCCCTTCCCCGCCCCCCTCTCCGCCTCCCCACTCCCCTCCCCCGTTCCCCTCTGCTTCCCCCTCTCCCCCTAGAGTGGGGAAGGCGGGGGAAGAGGGGGGGGGCGGGTTAGCATCCTGAGATGCGGTGTGGGGTGCGCCCAAACCCACCCTGGCGCAATATGGGCGGAGCAGGAAGGCGAAAGAGGACAGTGGGGGTGGGGGGAATGGGGGAGGGAGAGTTGAGAGCTATGGCCATGTGGTGCGATGTGGGTGGCACAATTGGCACAGGAGTGGCATGGCATGACAGGGTTGAGAGCTAATGCCACTGCGGCATGGATGGAAGTGGCAGGTGGCAGCATGGCATGGCATGGCAAATGTGAGCAGTGGCATGGGGTGGCACAGCAGCACAGCAGCACAGCACAGCAGCACAGCACAGCAGCACAGCAGCAGCACCTGCGGATGATGGCGGCGCTGAGAGGACCCTCCTGCTGGCGGATGGCGCGCAGCACTGCCATGCAGTGGGCGGACGGCTGGGCGGCTGACAGCATGGCATGCCACTCGTCCACGTCATCATCCAGGCACGGGTACACGTCATCATCTACTGACGCGTACACGTCATCGTCCATCAGCGGATTCCTCTCCGCGCCCCTCCCCCCTATCCTCTGCGCCAATCCGCCCTCCACCGTCTCCCCCCAAGCCTCCCCCTGCGCCTTTCCGCACGCCTCCCCCACGGCGCGGCCCAGCAGTAGCGAGCGCGCGCGCAGCTGCACGCGGAGCATAGTGGGGGAGAGATCCGCGCCTGCGGGGAACACAGGGACGCGCATGGCGGAGGCGGGAAAACGGGGAAGGGATTGGGTGGCGGGTGGGAGGAGATAAGATGGCGAGTTTTTGAGTGGGGAAGGCAAGAAATGGCGGCGGTTTGGGAGCGCGGAATGCGGGCAACGGCGACGCGACCTGAGCGAGAGGTCCGGACGAGGGCACAAAAGCGCACACGGCGCGCACGGCCCTTCACGCAAGAGTGCGTCTATGCCTCGAGACAACTCGACACGCGTGCGCGCCCCCTCACGCTCCCGCGCATTCCCCCGCACTCACCCGCGCCAGCGGCGAACTCCGCCCATGTGCCTGGGTCGCGCAGCCACGGCGCAAGCAGCGCGTGGTCCGCCTCCCCCAGCCACTCGCGCCACACCCCCCTCGCCTCTAGGCCAATAGCCACGCCGTAATCGAAGGCCATTGCAGAGGGTTGCAGTCAGGGATGTATGGGCGACGTGTTTTTATCAAGTGCGAATAACGAAACTTTCGAGTAGTGCTAGTGTCAGCAAAATCTGTGGAAAGGTGAAAACTTCAGCATTTCCATCCGTCGTTTGGTTCTCACACTCCTATCGCGCAGCGACCGATAATGGAAGTGGCGTTTTTTGTCAGGCTGAGTCACGGACGCAGAAGCTGATGACACAAAAAAAAATATCCAAGCGGATAAACGGGGTACTGCGAGAATCGAACTCGCGGCCTCTCGCACCCAAAGCGAGAATCATACCACTAGACCAAGCACCCGGATGACAGCTGGTCTGAATAAACAATTTGATGCTTGATCATGCGTAACTGATCAGGCTGGTGAGTAGCGGTTCAAAAAGGTGGCAAGTGCAAACCGTATCAAGAGTGCGTAGAGTCATACCCCAAACGTTTTCTGAACAAGTGTAACTCAACTCATCAAAAGAATACCAAGTGCGAGATGAGTCACACCATGACGACGACAACTGCCTCCCAGAATCGAAAATTCGCCATTTTTACCAATCAGACATAAGAGTGGCATCACACCAATCAGCTGAGCCACAGCAGCCACGAGGTGGGGCTGGTTACAGGTCAGCAGTGCTGGCGTGGGCGTGGGGTCATCCGCTGACACCCAAGCCCGACCCATTGATGACGTAAACCCCACGGTCGGGGTTGGCGTTTCGTAGGGTTACCACCAGCTGTGCTATGTTCGCGGTATTAGCAGGTCGAGCCTCTCGTTTTTAGGCGAGGTCAATGGGAGATGAGCACGTGGCGGATGAGGAATGTCAGACCCTTGTCCCTCCCGCCATGATGTTGGATGGATGGAAAAGTGACGGTGTGCGCTACGATTGGCTAGCACAGACAAGCCCAAACGGGTTCTGATTGGTCACTGAAGTTTGTAACCAAGACTTATGCAATCGGCGTTGGTGCACCCTCGATTCTGGTTCGCTGGTGTCAAGCTGAAGGCGTGCGGCTGATGGAGCTCGGGGAGGAGGGTCACACTCATGGCAGCGAAGACATTTCATGGCAGGAAATGTGATGTGGGTGGAGCGTGACAAAGGTTTTCAATACGTTTTTTCGCGGTTTGTCACGGTCGCAGGAACATTGCACAGATTCCATACCACATGGCATGAGAGCATAACGCAAGCGGTTTGATTCGAGGTTGTGAAGAAAACATGGCGTCACTCCGCAATTACACATCCATGAATCACTCGATAGAGCTGCTTGTGTGACGTGGCGTTGCTTATCTGCTCGAAGCACTGGGGACTAAGTCTAGGTGCGTAGGCGGCTCCACTGGCGTCCTCTTATCCACCGATAGAAATAGCCTCCTCAGAAGCCTAGCAGCCTTTGGACCAGACGTGGCACGCTAACTCGCTCATTCTGTTCATTTGTGTCGTCTATACACTCAAGCTTCGGGCTCCTGTTAGCCTCTGTAAATATCTCCGTTACGGATTGACCATTCCGCACTCTAACGAATCGTAACCTCGACTCGTGATAGCTATACACTCAGCCGACAGTGTAGGCGTGCGCGTTACTACTCCGCTGGGGTACTGCCACGTGGGCTGCATGCCACGACCACGACCGCGCGTAGCAGCGTTAGCGTCGGCGGTATCATGAGGCGCGGGGACGGGCGCGCAGCGGGCACGTCCCCCCAGCAGGTGCAGAACGCGCACAAGGGGCGCAGCCTGCCGAGCGTGCGGAGTGTGTCGGCGGGGCTGCTGCCGTCGTTCCGCGCCATCTCGAGCTACCTCCGCCATGTCTCCTCCTCCGCCGACTCCCTCGTCGCCTCCGCTGTCCGCTCCGCCTCCGCGTCGGTCGCGGCGGCCATGGCGCCCGGCGACGATAGCCAGAACAAGGAGCAGGTATGGGCAAAAGGTTTGGTAAAGAGGAGAAAAAAACGAACGAACGAAAAGAACGAAACATTTTCGGCGTACAGCGTGTTGAAACAGACAGCGCACGACTTTGTCTAACGCCACAACTTGGTAATCAAGAGATTGTTTGAGCTCGTACGGAAGTAGTGGCGTTTGTTGCCAAGTGGGGTGTTTCCTTCCGTTGTCCCGCCACGCCGCAGGTCACATGGGCGGGCTTCGGGTGGTTGGAGCAGGCGTCGTGCCGCGGCGCGTCCGTGCCCGTGTCCGGCACGCGCCACGTGCTCCTCGTGGCGTACACCACGGGCTTCCACGTGTGGGACGTGAGCCAACCACACGCCGTGCAAGAGCTCGTCTCGCGACGCGACGGCCCGGCGGACTCGTTGCATCCCATCCCTTACGTCGCTAGAACCCCCCCGGATAGTCCGCTCCGCGACGCGCATCCCGTGCTCTGCGTCGTGTGTCCCTCTGCCGCCGCGCCTCCGCCTCTCTCGGCCGCAGCCTTGGGATCTCCGAGTTTGTCTGCGCAGTTTCCGTACCTGGACGACGACGAACCGTACGCTGACGTGGCGGACGGGACAGACGAGCCGTACGCGTGCGGAGATGAAACGGGCGGCGAGCAGAGCGTGCTGCGGTTCTACTCGATGCGGAGCGGTTCGTATGTGCACTCGATCACAGTGGCGGGGCGGGTGATGGGCGTGAGGAGCAACCGCAGCGTGCTGGCAGTGGCTGTGACTGAACAGGTGAGTGGCGACTCGCAGTGGCTGTGATGCTTTACAATCCCGTCCCCCGCCCCTCTCCTTCCCGCCCATTCACCCCCCTCCTCCATCCCTCTGCCCCATTCTTGCCAACCGTCTCCCCCACCAACCCTTCCTCCTTCCCCTTTCCCCTCCCCCTTCCCCCTTCACCCCTCGCACCTCACCCCCCCAGGTGTACATATACGACCTGCCATCGCTGCGCACGGCATTCAGTGTGCTCACGCACCCGCACCCCCTCCCCTCCGCCCTCCCCGGCATCGCCCGCACGTCCCCCCACGGCGCCCTCGCCCTGGGCGCGCGCTGGCTCGCCTACCCCTCCAACCAGCCCCTCGCCCCGCCCGCCTCCGCCCCCCTCCCCTCCGCCTCCTCCTCCGCGGCTGCTGCTGCAGCTGCGGGCGCAGGGGCGGCACTGGTGGCGCATTATGCCAAGGAGTCGGGGAAGCAGCTTGCAGGGGGGATAGCCGCCCTGGGGGACCTGGGGGTGCGGGCGGTCGGCAAGTACTGGACGGACATGGTGGCGGAGTCCGCCGGCGGCTCAGGTGTTTCCAGCGCGTCAGGTGCTTCAGGTGTTGCGGCAGGGTTGGGGTCCCCCTGGAGCAGCAGGAGCCCGGAGCACATGTTTGCCCCTGACTCACCACACGCATCCGTCTCTGGAGCGTCAGTAGTATCGGGAGCATCGGTATCGGGGTCGTCAACGGATGGGTATGCGGACGCCAGTCCCAGGGCAGCAGCAGTGCACTCGCCTTCACCACCGCAGCTCCCACCTGCCGACCCCGGCCATGCCGGCAACGTGAGTGCTGCCCGCCCGACCCTCTTTTTCCCCCTCACATGCCAACCCACCCCACACTCCCTCCCCACTCACATGACATGTGCGAGCAGGAAACGGCTTCACACTCACCTCAATCCGCATTTGCCACCGCATCCCATTTCCTCCACCCCACCCACCCTCACTCGTCCCACACATGGCATATGCATGTGTGTGTGTGTGTGTGCATGTGAGCAGGTGATGGTGCGGGACGTGGCGACTCGTGCAGTGATAGCGCACTTCAAGGCGCATGGCAGCGCCATAGCACTGCTGGCGTTTGACAGCTCGGGCACGCTGCTGCTCTCCGCCTCGCACGCCGGCCACTCCCTCAACGTCTTCCGCCTCACCCCCGCCCCCTCGCCCCTCCACTCCCCTGCCGCCAACGCACCCCTCCTCGACTCACACCCCCAGGTACTCACTCCCATGCCGCCTCACTGCGTCTCACTCACTCTGTGCTCCCCATGTACCTGCTCTGCTTGCACTCATGGATCCTGTCGCTCTGCTTGCGCTCGTGGATCCTGTCACGCTGCTGAGTGCTCTGCTAGCCGGCCGGGGCGTTGTCCTCCTTTTTGTTCGATGCTTGCGTAACTCTAGCTCCTACTTCTGCCCGTTTGCGTATTTCCTTTTCCGTTCATCCGTCTTTTCTCTGCTACCCTTCCTTCCCTTCCTCGCTGCAGTCGCCACCAGACGGCTGCTCCTATGTGCATTTGTACAGGCTTCACCGCGGCCTCACTAACGCTGTAAGGAAGCACTCTATGCCGAGTACACACCATCCCCCTGTATGCATGCATGGTTACAGGTTTTTTCAAGTCCATGCCTTGTGCATGGGACTTCTCCTCCGCATCACTCCTCATTCGCACCATCCCCCTTACGCCCCCTTCTCCCTGCCGCTGCACACTTACCTGCCCGCCCACCTGACCTCCTGCCCGAATGCGTGTCTGCATGTCTGCCTGCCCATCTGCCCACCCACCCGTCCGCCCGTCATGCCTGGCAAGCAGGTGATACAGAGCGCGGCCATCTCACACGACGGCAGGTGGGTCGCAGTGTCATCAGCACGAGGCACCACACACCTCTTCGCCATCTCCCCTTTCGGAGGCCCCGTAGGCCCCGCCACTCACCTCCCCTCCGCGCCCTCGCCAACGCTCCTCCACCCTGTATATACCCACACCCCTTCCCTCCTCCCGCCGCCCCCCCCGCGCCCCTGGTGGTCCGCGCACGCCCCCCTGCGCGCGTCCCCCGCTCCCCCGCGCGTTCCCCCACGCATACCCGCGCCAATACCCCTCACATCAGTGGGGCGCATTCGAAACGCCAACAGTGGGTGGCGGGGGAACGTGACAGGCGTGGCAGCAGCAGCGGCTGGGCTGGGGGGAGAGATTCCAGGCGCCGTTGCTGCTGCTTTTCACTTCGGGGGGGTGACAGGTGGCGGGGGGTTTGGAACGGTGGGAGGGAGTGGGGTAGGTAGGCACCAGCAGCAGCAGCAGCACCAGCAGGTAGCTTCCGGGCAGTTTTTCGGGCAGCCGGACTGGGCTCCGCAGCCAATAGCAGAGCAGCTGTGGGTGTTTTCCCCCTTGGGGCACCTGATCCGGTACCACCTCACTCCCTTCGCTGCTACTGCTGACCCCTCCTCCTCTTCCTCCTCATCGCCCTCCCCCTCACACACCTACAGCAGCCCCATGCACGCGCCCCACTCGTACACCCACCACCCTCACCAGCACTACACGAGCCACACATACGACCCTAGAGGCATGTACATGCCACCCCACGCCATGGGTCCCCATAGCAGAGCAGCGGGCATGCACCCTGGCATGGGCGCTATGGGTTCCGCCCCCGCCTTCCCCCCATATTCCCCCTTCCCCCCCGCGCCCCCCATGGCGCAGTCGGACTCGTCAGTGCAGGGGGGGCGCTCCTTTGAGCGCCTGCCCTCTCTCCCCACCCTCGCCCTGCGCTCCGCTGCTGCTGCCGCGGGGGTGAATATGAGGGGCGCGGGGGGGGCGGGGGGCGGTGCAGCGGGGGAGGTGGTGGTGAGGGTGGCGGCGGAGGCGAGTGAGGTGTGGGACGTGTGCCGGCGCGTGAGCTGGAGCGACCGTGATGACCCCATCCCTGTTGAGGGCGCATGGGACCGGCATGGTGCTAGTGCTCATGCTACTGGTATTGGTGCTAGTGCTGCTGGTGCTGCTGGTGCTTCTAGTGCTTCTAGTGCTGGTGCTCTGGCTGGTGCTGCAGGTGTTGGTGCTGGCAGCAGTGCGTGCTCAGCGTCAGGGGAGGCAAGGCAGGGAGCAGGGGAGGGGGCGAGGGAGAGGGCGGCAGAGGAGGCACAGCAGAGGGCGTATCTGATGCACGCGGAGGTGCAGCTGTCCACCAGCCGAGCCACGCCCCTGTGGGCTCGCTCCTATGTGAGTGCCGCTCGTCCCTCTTGTCCGCACTGCTCACGTGCGTGTTTTTTCACTGAGATATTGCGAACGTTTAGCAGCAGTTTGAATGCAGTTATGAGGATATGATTTTGCAGCGCTGTTCTGAACAACCTCCCTGCTTTTCTCGTGCCAGCCGTGCTCCTGCTTTTCTGCGTGCTGCTCAATGCATGGCGAATGAATAATCTTACTTGACTCTGCCCTGCCGATGCATGCTGCTGTGAATGCTGCTGGCCTGCAGGTCCAGCTACAGCCGGAGGACCCACCAGTTGAGCAGCAGCAACAGCAGCAGCAGCCGCTGTCACAGGTCCCACAGTCACTGCCTCCCTTGCCGTCCTCTGCCAGTCCTCCCACACTCGAGGGCTTTCCACAGGCAAGAGCGCAGCAGCAGCAGCAGCAGCAGCAGCAGCAGCAGCAGCAGCATGCGTATGACACGCACGAGGGCATGAGCACAGAGGCACAGCCGCACATGGGTGTGCACGTGGGAGTGGAGCGTAGCAGTGGTGCCCCCAGACGCACCTCCGCCCTGGGGGGGCTGCTCCGCCACTCCGCCTCTGCTGCTGCTGCTGCTGCTGCCCCGCTGCTCCCACAACACCTCCCCCCAACCCCACCTGCAGCAGCAGGGCTAGCAGTGTCTGAAGCAGGGGTGCGGGGAAGTGAGGGATTGTCAGGAGTAGAGGGTGTGCAGGGGAGGCAAGTGGGGCCACGTGGAGACCTCCTGGGTATCGTTACTGCTCCTGGCCTCCTGGCAAGCAGCAGCAGCAGCAGCAGCAGCAGCAGTGGGGAGAGCGCAGGGGGCAGGGCGCGGGGGCAGGCAGTGCAGGAGGCGCGGACAGGGCTGGGTGTGGCGCTGGAGCAGCCCTGGGCGGGCAGCAGAGGGCAGGCGGGGAGCGCTGGGGAGTGGATAGCGGTGGAGCCGGGTGGAGGAGCATTAGTAGCAGGGGATGAAGGGATGGGTGGTGTGATTGGTGTGGGTGGAGGGATGGGGAGCGCAGGGAGGAGGCTGGGAGCTGTGGATGAGGAGGAGGGCATGGCAAATGATTCTGGTTGGAGGGGAGAGAGTAGGGCGGTTGAGGAGGGGGGCGGCAGTCAAGTGACTGGATATCTGGCCCCTGGTCCCAGGGCGATAGAGGAATGCGGGGAGGAGGGGGAGGAGGGCGAGGAGGGGCAGATGGGGGTTGAGGTGAATGGGAGGCGTGGCGGCGAGAGCAGCGAGGCCTTGGGAGTGTTTGCATTCGACGACCCGTGGCTTGCTGCTGACCCGCGCACCCTAGGTGAGCTGCCCTCGCTCCTGCCCCCGCTGCCCTATATCTCACCCACCTTCTCTTCCTCGTCCACCCCAACCTCTTGTCCTCCCCAATCCCTCTGCCTCCCCAACCCCTCCTCTTCCTCTTGGTCTGTCTCTCCACCACATGTTGCTGTGCATACGCTGTGACCTGTGCACGAGCTGTCCGTGCATTGAATCTGGACAAGGGCGGCACCAACAGCCTGTGTGCTCTCCTGCAGGATGCTAATCCACGCACACAAGCGCCTATCGGCCGTGCAAGAGCCGTCACAGTGCCTTGCAGCCCAGCCCAGCCCAGCCCAAGCCAAGCGAAGCCAAGCTGTCTGCGCTCATGCTTCTCTGCACACAAGGCTGATAGTGTAGCCCGGAATTAGCACAGTTGCCAAGGCACAAGCCATTTTTTTTACAAGTTCGTCTCGCAAGCCCTAAGCCCCATGCCCTTACCAATGATCTTCCTGGGAGGGAAGGGCTTGGCAGGGATCAGTGCTTGCGCAAGCAGCGGCAGCAGGGGTTAGGAAGTGGAGGCAGTGGCAGCAGTTGGGCGTGCAGGCTTTTTGTAGGGTAGGCAACTTTTAGTCGACCATTAACACTGACTGATGTAGCCTGCTTTGTAGTGGAACCTTCAGTGTACACTCTATAACGAGTATGAAGGCCAGGGTGTTTGTGCCCCAGGGCTGATTTCACTTACCTCTTCTCGTTCTCCTGTCGTTCTCTCTTCACTCTCCTGCTTCACTGCCGATGAGGTAAGGTGCAGCCGTGATGCTTTTTGCAACTCTCATAGCCAACCCCCCTCCCTCCTTCTCCGTCCTGTATCACCCCCATCCCACCCCTCTGTCCCTTTCTCCTGTGCTCCTGTGCTCTTTTGCCCCTGTGTTCTGTCATGCCTCGTGCTCCCACCCTCCCCGCCACCGTACCATCCACTAGCGTCTGCCTCTCTGTCTCGCAGCAACATACCCGGCTCCTCACCACCCCGCCTCACCCACCCACACCACCCCATCTCCTCCTACTCTCCCGCCTCCTCGACCCTCCGCTTACCAGCATCAGAAGCAGCAGAAGCATCATCAGCAACAGCATCAGCATCAGCATCATCAGCGACAGCATCAGCATCAGCAGCATCAGCATCAGCATCAGCATCATCAGCATCAGCATCAGCAGCAGCGGCGGCATCAGCAGCAGTACCAGCAGCCGCAGCACCAGCAGCACCATCAGCAGCAGCATCAGCATCAGCAGCAGCAGCATCAGCATCAGCATCAGCAGCAGCAGCAGCAGCAGCAGCAGCAGCAGCAGCAGCAGCAGCAGCAGCAGCAGCAGCAGCAGCAGCAGCAGCAGCAGCAGCAGCAGCAGCAGCAGCAGCAGCAGCAGCAGCAGCAGCAGCAGCAGCAGCAGCGGCATCAGCAGCAGTACCAGCAGCCGCAGCACCAGCAAGAGCTGCCTTATCCCGCTCCTCCCAGCCCCTGGGACCCCATTCCCAACCCCTGTCCTCCCGCCCATCGACCCTCTCCCCCACTAGGAGCCACCACTCCAGTCCCCCCCAGCACCAGCCACTGCCCTCCTGTGGCCTAGAGCTCCACCCCATGCCGTCTGCCTCCCCATCCTCCCATGCACCATTGTCTCCCTCTCCTCCTCGTCCGCCCCCACCTGCTCCTCCTACTCACGCTCCTGCGGGCTCCTCTCCCAACAGCAGCTGTGGCTGGCTCGTACGGCGCAGCGAAGGGGAGATGGACGGCGAAGGAGGGGCAGACGAGGGCGAGCAGAAGTGGGAGGAGCAGGAGGAAAGGGTGCAGGAACAACGAGCAGGGGAGGAGCAGGTGGGGAAGGAACGAGTGGTGGTAGAAGAGGTGGGGGGGTTAGGGCAGCAGGAGCAGCAGGAGCAGCAGGAGCAGCAGGGACAGGAGGGGCAGCAAAAGCAGCTGGAGCAGGAGGAGGAGCGTGGCAGGGAGCATGGGCCAAAGGAGGTGGAGCAACAACAGGCGGTGGCGGATGGGGGCCTAAGGGAGTCAGAACCGGTGTCAGAAGTGGTGTCAGAACCAGTGCCAGTGTCAGAAGCAGCCTTAAATGAGGTGTCAGAAGTGGTGTCAGCGTCAAAAGAGGTGTCAGAAGCAGTGGTGGTGGAGGAGGTGTTGAATGTAGAACTGGGAGGAGACGAGGATACGGCGAATGCAGTGTGCAGCTCCGGCATGGAAGGTACTGGAGAGTGCGTGGTGAGTGGGGTGGGGGGGATGGATCAGGTGGTTGCTGGGGTGAAGGATGAGGGGGATGGAGGCGAGGAGAAGGGGAAGATAGGGGGCTGTGAAGGATCAGTGGGTTATAAATTTGGAGCACAGCGCGGGGAGGAAGGGATGGCGGTGTGTGAAGGAGGAGCAGGTTCGAGGCAGGTGGAGGGGAGGGAGCAGGAGCACGAGCAGCAAGAGACGGAAAGGCAGGAGAAAGTGGGTGCAGAGATGCAAGGTGGCATGGGGAGTGGTGGGCGTGGCAGTGACAGCAGTGGTGGCAGTACTGGCGTTGCTGGCAGCGGTGAATGCAGCAGTGGGGAAGGCATTGGGGAGGTGACAAGCCAAGACAATGCTGCTGAGGATGCAGCAATAGCCGAACCTGTTTCAACTGCTTCACCTGCCGAACTTGATTCAGCTGCTTCACCTCTCTTAGCTGCGTCACTGGCCGCACCTGTCTCAGCGTTACCTGCCATACCTGCCTCCTCCGGATCACCTGCCGCACCTGTGTCAGCTGGTTGCGGAGGTGCTGGTGAGGCGCGTGCAGCAGGTGAGGCGCGTGCAGCAGGTGAGGCGCGTGCAGCAGGTGAGGCGCGTGCAGCAGGTGAGGCGCGTGCAGCAGGTGAGGCGCGTGCAGCAGGTGAGGCGCGTGCAGCAGGTGAGGCGCGTGCAGCAGGTGAGGCGCGTGCAGCAGGTGAGGCGCGTGCAGCAGGTGAGGCGCGTGCAGCAGGTGAGGCGCGTGCAGCAGGTGAGGCGCGTGCAGCAGGTGAGGCGCGTGCAGCAGGTGCAGGAGAGAGTGCAGCAGAATCAAGGAGTGAGCAGGGAGGGCTGATAGGGAGAGAACAAAGGGGTCCTATTGTGGGAGCTATTGCACGTGGTGTCATCAAGGCAGCTAGTGCTGCAGGCAGCAACAGCTGTACTGGCAGCAGTGGTGGTGGTGGTGCTGCTGGCAGTGGCAAGGCAGCAGCGACAGCAGCAGCTGAGGTGCCAACAGCGCGAGCAAGGAAGGGGAAGAAGAAGAAGAAAGGTTTAGTGGTATCAGTCGCTGCTGCAGCACCAGCAGCAGCAGCGCCACAACCAGCAGCACAGGCAGCCATTAAGTCGGTTCCCAGCTCCGAGTCTCTGAATGGCTGGGAGCTCTGACTGCTTGCACTCTCGCACCCAAGCTTCACCCAAGCTCAACCTTACTGCAGTGCAGGCTTGGTACCACACGGGCATGGTACAGCACAGGCTTGGTACCACACGGGCATGGTACAGCACAGGCTTGGTACCACACGGGCATGGTACAGCACAGGCTTGGTACCACACGGGCATGGTACAGCACAGGCTTGGTTGTGCTGCATTGCACTCACATGCCTGAGCCAGCCACCTACCGGTATCTGTGTGTCCCATCCCATCCCATCCCATCGCTGCAAGCAGTCCGTTGTGCAGCACAGCAGTGGCCACTGCTCTTGCTGTGAAGTGGAGCGGGAAGGGAACGAGTGAGTGGCCCTCCACACATACAGAAAGGACTCGCATTATGTTTATGTACATTGGTCTATACATGTAATATACTTCCTGAACATACAGAAAGAACTTTCGTTATGTTTATGTACATTGGTCTATACATGTAATATACTGCCTGGACATACAGAAAGAACTTTCGTTATGTTTATGTACATTGGTCTATACATGTAATATACTGCCTGAACATACAGAAAGAACTTTCGTTATGTTTATGTACATTGGTCTATACATGTAATATACTGCCTGAACATACAGAAAGAACTTTCGTTATGTTTATGTACATTGGTCTATACATGTAATATACTGCCTGAACATACAGAAAGAACTTTCGTTATGTTTATGTACATTGGACTATACATGTAATATACTGCCTGAACACCAAGCATATGCAGGTCCGTCCATACAACTATCAACAGATCTTGTTTTTTTCCCCAGGCCAGACTCCTTCACCATCCTGGTTTGGTTTGCCTGTCCCTGTGCCCAGTGCCCAGTGCACAGACAGAGGCATGGTAGCTCACCTCACCTCCTTCCAGACTACTCCCATCCCATCCCACGCCACCATGCCACCCATGCCAAGCATCCCTCCACGCCACCACAAACCAGAGCCTATACAGAGCGCCTCATTTCCGCTTCGCTGCTTCATGCTTCCTCACTCCTCACTCCTGCCCACTCCTGCCCACTCCTGCTCACTCCTGCTTCCTCGCGCGAAAGAACACGGCAGCAACGGGCTTCCCCAGCCCATGCTGAGCCGCAAACTGGCGCGTCTTGAAGCCCTTGCGTGCAGCAGGAGCGTGGGCGGTGATGCGCTGGGACTGGCGGAAGAGGGAGAGCACATAGCGGTGCACGCCCATGGGGGGGGAGGGGCCCTTGTACTCTGTCACCACCTCGCCTGCGCTGCTGTGTGGGAGCGTTGTTGCGCCTGGTATGTTCACCACTAGCCTGCACGCGCGCACACACACAGGGGAGGCATGAGGGTGGGCAGTGATGCGTTGGTGCTGGCGGAAGAGGGAGAGCACATAGCGGTGCACGCCCATGGGGGGGGAGGGGCCCTTGTACTCTGTCACCACCTCGCCCGCACTGCTGTGTGGGAGCGTTGTTGCGCCTGGTATGTTCACCACCAACCTGCACTCATGCACACACAGGGGAATGAAGTGAAATTCTGAACCTGAGGGTGTAGGGCACTGGTACTTTTGGACGCAGAGCAATGGGGACGCGCGCAACCACACTCACAAACTTGCGTCATCTCCCTGGTCCCAGCTCCCATCTCCCACCTCCCGCGCCACCTTGTCACGCCCTCCCCACCAATCAATCCTCCCAGCCTTCCCCAATTCCCCCGCCCCGCAGTTCCCGGCCACCCAGTCACCCCCTCCCTCCCCATCCCCCCTCTCCATTCCCCCTGCCACACCCCCTGACCCACCAGTGCAGCCACTCGGCCGCCACGGGGTTGTCTGGGCTGGGCGCATCTGGGTCCGACATCACCTGGGGGCGGGGGGAAGACAGAGGGGGGGATGTGAAGAGTTGTGAGAACACAGATGAAGGAATGAGGAGTGGGAAGTGAGGGGGGGGCCACGGGAAGAGAGGGAGGGGGCTGTTTAGTACGGATTTGCAGGAAGGTGTGTTGGCGTTGATTCATTGAGTGAGGCGTTGACTGGCGTTGACTCACGAGTGTGTAAAGGTCCCCGTTCTCGTGTCGCCCCGCCAACTCCACGTATGGCGCTTCTGCTGCCTCGTTTGGCGTCAGCTCGTCACCGTTTCGCACCTCCCTGTCACCGTACTTCACCTGCCAGCACCACGCGAGTCAAGAGAGTCAACAAGGTCAGAAGACCAGCTTCAACGGAGTCAACGCGGTCAACCCTGGCTTGCTCCGCGGAAGCTCCACCCCCAAGGCGAGCCCAAGGCGAGCACCTCTATCCCTGTGCGACGCGATACCTTGATGTCGAGCGACGGCACGAAGTCGTCGAGCACGTCGCCAATCACCTCGCCCTTCGCGAGCGCCTCGTGCGACGCTTCCATGGCTGCCTGCTGCGGCGCGCGCGCGGCTCGGCGGTTGAGAGAAGCGCGCGTAATAGAGAGGCTTCAGGGAATATCGACAAAGAAAAGGGAGGAAAGATAGGAAAGTGGAAACGGAAACTACCGTAGATTAAGGGAAAGCGAGGAAGGGGCGGGAAGCACGCAGCGTGCGACAACGCGAAGCAAGTGAGGCTGACACGGGCGACGCGACTAGGAGCCAAATGGCAATTGGTGATGAATTCGGGACATGCATGGCCAAGCGGGAATCAAGAATCAAGAATCGAGATGCACCTGTGAGATATAAGTTTCCCCGCTACTGAGATTCTACTTGGAGTGGAGCACGGTAATGAAAAATTAGGCATTCCATTATAATAAAAAAAATACATAATTATGCTGGCTTTGTTTACCAAGGATTACGTTTCTAAATCCGCCGCTACATCGCTCAAGACTTGCTTGAATATACGTACTCCCTGGATCTCAGAACAAAACCACGGTCAGAAATAAGCAGACAGAAAACAAAAGATGTTGAAGGAAGCGGAACCAAGGAGACAAACCTGGAGAGCAAAGATGACGTCGGCGGCACTGGCTTTGAGCATCACTTTGCACTTGGCCTGGGGGCGGGCAGCGTTCCTTCCAGCGCCCACCACTTGCAACAGAGCCTGGCAGGCAGGAGCGTCGCACAAGACACATGAGAGAGTGAAGACTCAAAGAGATACTGTGCATGAGAGCAGTATGCCACACCCCACCCCACCCCACCGCACCGCACCAGAGCAGTATGACCCACCCCACCCCACCGCACCGCACTAGAGCAGCACAGCCCAGCCAACCCCGCTGCACCGCACCGCACCTGGCCGTGCAGAATCGCGCACATGTCGGTGACCTCGTTGAGTGTCACGGCCGGCACGTGCAGCGAGCGTGCCAAGCCTGCATACATGCTGTACAGCTGACAGCGGGGTAAGGGGAAGTGGGGGAGGGGCCAAAATGAAAAACACTTCTGAGGCGCCTCAAAAGACACCTGGCACATGCAGCGAGCGTGCCAAGCCTGCATTCATGCTGTACAGCTGACAACAGGGATGGGGCAGGGGCACGAGCACGGGAGGGGTGAGTGTGAGAGAGGACTGGGGGAGGGGCCATGCCGGACAGGGCTTATGCGTGGGAAAAGGCTAGTGCAGTAAAGAGGTAGTGCAGGAGAGGGCTAGTGGGGGAGAGGGGTGGCAAGGCAAGTACCTGGGAGAGGAGAAAGTCGTTGGCTGTGGAGGGAGGTTTGCCCCGGGTGATGAAGCGGTGGCGTGCCCTGTGCTGCTGGTGCTGCTGTACACACGCCACCAGCACCATCTGCATTGCAGTGGGTGTAATGGAGGGGGGTGTGGAGGCAGTATGGGACACACAGGTTGTATGAGATGATTGGTGCATGGGGTGATTGAGCAGTGGCGTGCCCTGTGCTGCTGGTGCTGCTGCACACATGCCACCAACATGGGACAGAGGGAGGGACAGTGGAGGGGGTGTGAAGGCAGCATGGGACAGAGGGAGGGACAGTGGAGGGGGTGTGAAGGCAGCATGGGACAGAGGGAGCACCGGATTATAGGCACATGCAGGAGGCTTGGGTCAGGTGATGAAGCGGTGGCATGCCCTGTGGTGCTGGTTAGGGTGCTCAACTGTGTTACAAGTCGACTCACAACACACAGGGCGCACTGGTACCTGCTGGTGCAGCGGCAGGGAGCGAATGCAATCGACGGTGGAGGAGGCGAAGGAGCGGGAGAGGGCCTGCGCCATGTGATGCACCTCCACATGCACCTGCATGTGCACCGCCTCCCCTTGCTGCACCGCCACCGCCACTGCCTCCGCTCGCTGCCTCTTGCCCGTCGCTTGCCCGACTGCCTCCCTCGCTGCCGTCCGCTTGCTGCTCCTGCTGTCCCCTGCCGCCCCAGCAGTGCAGTCAGCAGGTGAGCCTGCACCAGGCAGGGCCTCCCTAGTATCCACCTCCCCCGCGTCTGCCTCCCCTGCGTGCGCCTCTTTCGTGTGTGCCTCCCTCAGGTGCGCCTGGAGCTCCGCCTCGAGCACATCCACTGCCATTCTGCACGCACATAGGCGGGCGTTGAGGGGGAGGCGCAGGGCAGGACGAGTGAGGAGGAAAGAGAGTAGGGGGAAGAGCAGGGGTACAGAAGGAGGGGGTAGAGGGGAGGAGGAAAGGGGGGAAGAGCGGGCAACTGGGCAAGGATAAGAGACAGAGCGGATATGAAGACGGCAAAAGGCTCCTTAGGCTGCCTGTTGTTTCTGCAGTGGAGGAGAGTACGGTGAAGGGGCAAAGGGTGAGAGTGAAGAGGAGTAGGGCGAGAGTCAATGGGCGTAGGGTGCGAGTCAAGGGGCATACGGTGAGAGTGCGTTGGAGGAGCTTTAGAGTGTGTTCGTCTCACCTGGTGATGTCAAGTGCCTTCCGCATGTCCCCTGATGCCGCTGCCACTTTCTGCGCACATACAAACGCACAGGCATGCAGACGCGCACACAGGCACACACAGGCACACACAGGCACAAATGACCGAGCAGGGAGGGAAGAGAGGACAGGGGGAAAAGTACATTGTTTAGTGGCAGAAGGGAGAGGAGAGAACAGGAGATTTTTTGTCAAAAAGAGCAGAAATAGTGGTGCAAGGTGGGGAATTGGCCAGTCAAGAAATGGGCGGGGGGAGGATGAAGAATGGAAGGGACACGAGCAGCATGATTGCAGAATGACTTGGCCTGTCAACGAGAGCGGGAGAGCAACACACCCGAGCACAGAGATGCAGCGCCATGGGATGAAAGGAGAATGACGTGCACGCGCTCTCCCGTGCCCTCCCCTCCACTGCTGCTCCACTCGCTGCTGCCCCTACTGAACTCCCTCCTGTGGCGAAACGACTTACCCGGGCACAGAGATGCAGCGCCATGGGGTCAAAGGAGAACGATGCGCACACGCCCTCCCGTGGCCCTCCCTCCACTGCTGCTGCCGCACGCGCTGCTGCTCCCACTGGCATCCCTCCAGCAGCCTGCTCGAGTGGAACACACACAGAGGGGCGCGGAGCGAAGCAAGGAGAGAGGGGCGAGGCAGCAGGCACGTGAGAGAGGCACACAGAGCGCAGGCACGTGAGAGAGGCACACAGAGCGCAGGCACGTGAGAGAGGCACACAGAGCGCAGGCACGTGAGAGAGGCACACAGAGCGCAGGCACGTGAGAGAGGCACACAGAGCGCAGGCACGTGAGAGAGGCACACAGAGCGCAGGCACGTGAGAGAGGCACACAGAGCGCAGGCACGTGAGAGAGGCAGCAGGATGACGATGAGAGAACTGGAGGATATGTGGCGGTATGGTCCGCACATGGGCACGGCAACTGGCACATACCTGGAGCCTTTGGGAGAGGATCTCGTAGATTTGATTGCGATCGTATGCTGGGAACGGCAGCAGTGTTGGGCGTGCTGTGACTCCCCTGAAAGACGGAAACGGAAAAGAGAGGTGGCGAGTTGCGGGTGAGCACTGAGCAGCATGAAGTGTCTTGGTGAGAGACAAACACGTGAGCGGGAGGGTAAGATTCCAGGAGACGGTCAAAGCAGAGTGAAATCTGACCGAAAAGAGAACAAAAGCATGGAAGAGAGGTAGGGAGGGTTGGGATGGAAGGGAAGGAGGGAAGCGCAGAGAGGGTAGGGAAGGAAGAGAGGGCAGAGAGAGAAGGGAGGGGAAGGGCGGTACAGAGGGAGGGGAGGGAAGGGAGCGCACGCTGGGTTGGGGCGAGAGAGGTGTGGCAGCAGGGAGTCGATTAGATGGATGGAGTTGGATATGCCTGTTGGGGGCGGAGGGTATTCAGGGGCAAGGAGTGGCACGGGGTGCAGGGTAGAGGGGTTTTGACAGGAAGGTTGCTTCTAGCTTGATGCTGTGCTTACAATGGACAGAGCTGCTAAGTTTAGGTAACTGGGCAGAGTTGCTGAGTTGCCGTGAACACAACAGTGAAGATTTAGCACTGAGCAAGGAGGATGCAGCACCAACTGACCAATTAAGAAAGCAGCAGTGACTGACCGATGAGGATGCAGCGCGAGTGGGCGTGGAGGGAGGGCAGGAGGAAGAGGTGGGTGAGCACGGAGGTGTCCCTGCCCCTCACCAGCTGATCCACCTCGTCCGCCACCACCAGACTGATGCATGCCATGCCATGCCATGCCATCACAGCATACACCGCAAACACAACACAGAAAGCATTGAGAGCACAGACACAACACACGCAGCACACACACAACACACAACAAAAAAAACGAGATGAGGATTCAAAGGAAGCATGGCATAGTTGGGGAAGACACGGATAGCACAGGAGCGATGAACGTGCTGGCGTGATTCGATCTGTGTGGATGACGACCGAGGTCACTGAGGGCATTCGGATGACTAGGGGGCCGATTATGATGATGGCAGGGCTGATGCAGAGGAAGAGAGGGAGGGGTGACTCACATCATGGGTTTCCTCCCACCCTTGCCACCACCACTGCTCCCATCACACTTGCCCGTGCCCCCATCACCACACCGCTTGTCACCACCAGCATTGGCTCTCCTGCCCCCCTGCCCCTTCCCCGCCTCTCCCTCCCTCAGCCGCAGCACTCTCCTTGCTCCTACGCCATCCTTCTCCCCTCTTCTGCCACCTCCTGTCCCTCGCGTCACCCGCGCCTTCCCTGCAGCGCGCGGCCCTGCATTGCCTCCCTGCCCTGCATCACCTCCCTGCCCTGCATTGCCTCCCTGCCCTGCATCACCTCCCTGCCCTGCGGCCCCTGCCTGCCCTGCGGCCCCTGCTTGCCGTGCGTCCCCTGCCACCACTTCCACCACGTCATCATCCTCCCCTGAAGACCTCGCCTCCTCAGTTGCATCCCTCGCACCCTCGCCCTCAACCACCCGCGACTCAATTCCCTCCGCTTGCTCCTCCGCCTGCTCCTCCTGCACCTTCTGCTGCAACAGCGACACCACGGCCTCTCTTGCCCCTTCGCCATCCCCGCTTGCGCGCGCTCGTCCTGTGCCCCCTCGCCGCTGCGCGCCCTTCCGTCCGCCGTGGTTTGAGGGAGAGCTGTGGTGCGCAGCCTCTGCCGCTGCTATGGCGCGCTCCATCTGAAACCCGCGCGGGGAGCGAGGGGAGCGGTGGGACGGGGGGAAGGGGGAGGGATGGGGAAGGGGGAGGCCCAAGAAGGCACAGGATCACACAAACAACACGAGTGTTTGGAAGAGGAACAGGTACGGGGAAAGAGAGACCAGGAGTAGCGCGTATAGGAGCGCGTGAGAGGAGCAGACTACAGCATGGGGAAAGAACGAGGGGCAGAGAATGAGCGGCACTAACGCGGCACTAACCTGGGGGAAGAGGTTGGCGGGGTCGGTGAGCGCCATGCAGTTGACGTACACCGGCACACACAGGGGCTGCGGAGGACAGGGTGTGTGAGGGGTTGACCGCGCGGACGCCGGGCACATGGGCACGAATGAGTGTTTCGGGTGATTTGAGTGGAGTGACAGGAGCAGGGTGAGTGGCGAATGAACGGCAAAGGGTGAACGAATGCGTGAAGGCGACGGAGCGATAGGGGCAGTGATGACGACTCAGTGACCACTCAGTGTTGCGGAGAGAGGAAGGATGATGCTTTGTAAGAGCAGTCAAAAGGTTGCGTGCGTGCTCGCGTCACTGACGCGGCATTCCATGGGCTGGCCTCGCGTCACTGATTCGCCACTCCATGGGCTCACCTCGCCGGCCGCATTCGTCCACGTCGACACCTCCTTCGCCACCTGCGACAACATCAGGGTTTTTCCTGTTCCCGGGCAGCCGCAAACGTATAAGCTGCCCGCGCGGGCTGTAGTCGCATGGTCACGACAGAATGCGACGATCTGATCGCGCTGCGCGTCGCGGCAGCGGATCTGAACGAGCCCGCGGCTGTCGTCGGCTGCGTCGCACGCGTCGCTGTTTTTGCACTGGCGGCCGTCTGCGACGAAATCCTTGAAGGTAACTTGTAATGACTGTCGCACACGATCCAGGCATCGCGCGACTGCGTTCGGAATGGGTCGTGCGACGCTTGAAACGGACTGCGATCGAGTGTCGCGCGCTTTGTCGTCCGGCCCCATGCGAACTACAGGCAACGGCAATATCAAGGCTCAGATCGACAATGAGCCTAGGAACAGCAAGGAATGGAGCCAATAGCGATCGAGCGACGCGGAAGCGAAGGGAAAGAGTGCAATTTGAGTCCGACCAACGACACTTATATGTGATACGTGCGAAAATGCTGGAGGCGGAAGATACGGCTGCCAGCAAGCTTGAACGTCAGACACACTGTTGCGGCTGTTGACGCCGTCGTCAGTGGAGCTGCGATATCGCGTGCCAACAGGCTACGATCAAGTGCAATCACTCTACTCTGAAACCTGACCTGTCTGCTTCCCGTTGTGATATCAAAGCATTCAAGTACTGATTCTGCCTCATTGGTTTCACCTGCCTTGGTTTTCGTTGCTCCACCTTCCTTGCTTTCTGCCACCTGGATACTCTTTCCCCCTTGGTATTCCCTCCCCGCGCCTTGGTGGTCTCCCGCCTTTCCTCGAGAGAGCACTGTGGTGCCACTTTCGTGAGCTCCCGCTAAAACAAACAGCTGGCGAAGCCTATGAAATGACCCGCTATCGTTTCACCATTGAACGATTTGAGTTTAGAAATCAGGCAATTTCATACAGCTACGTAAGCTATGTAAGCTATGTAATCATACATGCAAGTAGTCTCAGTCAGCGTAACATTACAACCCGTGCGACTGTAGGCGAAACTCAAACAGCCAATAGAAGAGAGCGAGCGCCACGCGCACCCACGAAGCAGCAAAACAGAAGATCAACCGTCCCAACCGCGCAACCTCCGCTGACCAGCAGGAGTTGCCGAAACTGCATGCGCGCTTCGGAGGTTGAGATTCCAGAAATTGACATTTTGACTCCACACGCATGAATCGGGCTGGCACTGGGGTATAAGGACCAGCACCGAAACTCTCATTCCATCACTCGACAGCGAGTTCTGCTTTCCTCTCTCCTACCTCGGATTTTAGATCCGTGAAACAGCTTACATCCACAGCCTCTCATAAATCAGCGATTTCTTTTCGAATCTTCCGGATTGTGGTACTGCTGCCTTTGCGTCGGCCCAGATATCATGGGGCTGCGGAGCGCGCGCGTGGCGCTGCTGTGCGCGGTGGTGGTTGTGGTGAGCCTCAGCGGGCTGGGCGGGGGGAAGCTGGGCGTGGAGGCGATCAAGGGCAGTGACCTGAAGAAGCCGTTCGAATGCGACAAGAACAGCGACTACGGCATGTGGTACCGGTACACGTGCGTGTGCGCGTCCATGCAGGCGAATGATGTGGGAATCTACTGGGAGCCCGCAGTCAACATGAGCATCGGTGCCACGTGCCCGGGCCCCCACCCGGCAGCGTTCGGGCGCATGGCGTTCGGCAACAAGTGGCTGGAGTCGGTGGGGTACAGCTCCTGGGTAACCGAGCTCATGCGCTGGCCCGCCAGCCGTACCGCGGCGTCGGGCGGCAGCTCTGCTACATCTCCAACATCCGCGGGCGCTACAAGGAGCTCTTCGTGGGAAACGGGTACGTGCCGCCCAGCGGCAAGGTGAACGGGCGCCCCTGGAACTGGAACCCCGAGCCGCCTTACTTCGGCAACAACTGGCGCTCCTGGGCCTGGGATGAAAAGCCGTACTAACCACTCGCTGCTGCCGGCTGCCGGGTGCACTCTCTCACACACACGCATGCGGTTGTTCAGACACGTGGATATGTGCAGGGCGGGGGGTTGTTAGGCGGAACGGCGGTGGTAGGGGGTTAGAGAAGAGAGACCTGACTGCGGTCGGGATGGAAGGGAGGGGGGAAGAGACGTGTTGGTAGGTGATGGGTACGAGGGTGAGGCATGCGTGTAGGAATAAACAGGGTTGATGATGCTTGTATGGATGTTGGTTGGGTAATGAATCTGAATGTTGAAATTCCTTAAAAAAATGGTCGCAGTGAGCGGCATCACAAAATACACCCCTACCACGTTGCTTGTGTTGCCAATCTTCAGAGGGAAAGGGTGCTGGACTTTGTTGGGAGTTGCTTTTAAGAATTCTCGATGGTGTTGGTGTTGGGCGCTGCTATGAGAAAACCCCGTGGCCCATAGGATACAGGGCTGCTTTCACTTGTGGAAGCATCCTCCTAGCCATCAGATGATACCAAGTTACCAACTAACGCCCGAGAACAAATATGGTGGTACCATGTCAGCGCGTTCTGCTGGTCAGCATCGTAACACACACATGTTGAGAAACCTATCCACAGTTCCTCGACTGATTACATGCTTGAGGGGTCTGCTGCTGCTTGCTGGGGTTTGCTAAGTTTGGTTGGGTGACATACCATGACATGCCAGTGCAACACATTGCAGCAACCAGCCGCCAGCTCATGATGAAACTACGAACATAAGTTTGGAGTAGAGCAGCAAAAGAGAGTGACCCAAGGGTGTGTTAGAAAGGATAGAGCCTAGACAACACACATAATGCAACATACAGCACGGTAAGAATTGAATGTTTAGTGATGAGATGGTCAGGGATCTACTGGACTGGAATCACAGCAAGAGACACATTGGACCACAGATATTCGTGGTCACTCGTGTGCGCCTGCGACCATCATGAATACACCTAGGGCCCAGCAGTGTTTTGATGGAGGGCTGAACGCACTCTAGCACCGTCGTATCGTATCGTACTGCTATTGTACTGTACTGGAGAACATAACAAGCTGATTGACAGATGCACACAACGCAGCTGTTGCCCAGCCTCTACTACACCTGTATGTGCTGTCGGTTGTCCCACACACATCCTCATCCCATTCTTTCCCTCCCAGCCCCCTCCCCCTCCCCGCGTATGTACCCCTTTCGTCACCCTGGAATCATCACCAGCATCATCCCTTTCATCACCAGCATAAAAAACGCAGGCTCATACGGTAGCATAGCTCCCAAGACTTGGCTTGGCTGACCGACCAACTGAAGCACAGCACACGGTACCCCCCCTCCTATCTCCCCTCCACCTCCCTTCCACCTACCCGTCCCCACCCTACCTACTTTCCTCCCCCTCCCTACCTACTTTCCTCTCCCTCCCCTCCCTATCCTCCCATCCCCTCCCTCCCCCCCTTCCCCTCCCTTCCCCCTTCCCCTCCCTCCCCTTCCAATGACACCAACCATCCCCTCCCTCCCCTTCCAATGACACCAACCATCCCTGAACGGCCCAGGGAGCAGCGGTGCAGGTCATCTCGAGGGGCGCATGAGCATCATGCCACCCATGGGCGGCCGCATGCCCGGCGCACCAAAGAACTGCCCGGGTAGCGGCAGCACCGCCCCCCTCCCACCGCCCGGCATGCCAAACGGCATGCCCGGCATGCCAGGCATGCCAGGCAGCCCCATGGGGGGCATGCCTGGTCGCAGCAGCTGCTGGGGGAACCCTCCGGGGGCGCCCCCCCCGCCGGCTGCTGCTGCTGCGGCTGCGGCGCCGATGGGAAGGCCGGAGCCGATGGGGACGGAGCCGAGGTGGTCTCGGATGCGCTGGTCTATGAGGGATTGTGTTTGCTCCTCCTCATACTGCTGGTAGTATGTGCGCACGTTCGCCTGATGGGTGGGGGGGAAGGGGGGGAGGGGTGGGCAGGGGCAATGGACGGTGGAAGGGGAAAAGGTGAGGAAAATCTAGGAGGAAACAGGGGTGGGGAGAGGGAGAAGAGGGGAAGGGAAGAGCCGATGGGAAGGCCGGAGCCGATGGGGACGGAGCCGAGGTGGTCTCAGATGCGCTGGTCTATGAGGGATTGTGTTTGCTCTTCTTCATACTGCTGGTAGTACGTGCGCACGTTCGCCTGGTGGGCAGGTGCGGGAGGGGGAGGAGGGGTGGGCAGGGGCAATGGACGGTGGAAGGGGAAAAGGAGAGGAAAATGTAAGAGGAAACAGGGATGGGGAGAGAAAGAAGAGGGGAGGGGAAGAGCCGATGAGCGACTGCATGTGCTCTTCCTCATACTGCTAGTAGTACGTGCGCACGCTCGCCTGGCGGAGGGGGGGGAGGAGAGGAGGGGTGGCGGGAAAGGAGAACGAAGGGGGATTTAGGGAGGGAGAGAGAGGGAAGGGGTTGGTCTATGAGGGATTGCGTCTGCTCCTCCTCGTACTGCTCATAGTACGTGCTCACGTTGGCCTGGTGGGGGGAGAGGAGGGAGTGGAGGGGTGGGTAGAGGGGCGGTGGACCGTGGAAAAAAAGGAGGTGCAGCTCCGAGGAAGGGAGGGAAAGGGGGGGGAGAGAGACGAAGGGTAGGGATTGAAAGGGGCGATTGAAGAGCAAATGTGAGTTGGGTAAAGCGGCGTCAGTGCGGGAGCAGAAATGAGCATCAGTGCGCCACGTGGAGCATGCACACAGCCAGCCAGCCCTCGTCTCACGCCTGTGCTGCCACCAGGTGCACTGCGTGCTGCATGTTGAAGCTACCCTTGTATCCCTCACCTTGTGCTTGTATCCCTCACCTTGTGCTTGTATCCCTCACCTTGTGCTTGTATCCCTCACCTTGTGCTTGTATCCCTCACCTTGTGCTTGTATCCCTCACCTTGTGCTTGTATCCCTCACCTTGTGCTTGTATCCCTCACCTTGTGCTTGTATCCCTCACCTTGTGCTTGTATCCCTCACCTTGTGCTTGTATCCCTCACCTTGTGCTTGTATCCCTCACCTTGTGCTTGTATCCCTCACCTTGTGCTTGCATCCCTCACCTTGTGCTTGTATCCCTCACCTTGTGCTTGTATCCCTCACCTTGTGCTTGCATCCCTCACCTTGTGCTTGCATCCCTCACCTTGTGCTTGTATCCCTCACCTTGTGCTTGCATCCCTCACCTTGTGCTTGCATCCCTCACCTTGTGCTTGTATCCCTCACCTTGTGCTTGTATCCCTCACCTTGTGCTTGCATCCCTCACCTTGTGCTTGTATCCCTCACCTTGTGCTTGTATCCCTCACCTTGTGCTTGTATCCCTCACCTTGTGCTTGTATCCCTCACCTTGTGCTTGTATCCCTCACCTTGTGCTTGTATCCCTCACCTTGTGCTTGTATCCCTCACCTTGTGCTTGTATCCCTCACCTTGTGCTTGTATCCCTCACCTTGTGCTTGTATCCCTCACCTTGTGCTTGTATCCCTCACCTTGTGCTTGTATCCCTCACCTTGTGCTTGTATCCCTCACCTTGTGCTTGTATCCCTCACCTTGTGCTTGTATCCCTCACCTTGTGCTTGCATCCCTCACCTTGTGCTTGCATCCCTCACCTTGTGCTTGCATCCCTCACCTTGTGCTTGCATCCCTCACCTTGTGCTTGCATCCCTCACCTTGTGCTTGCATCCCTCACCTTGTGCTTGCATCCCTCACCTTGTGCTTGCATCCCTCACCTTGTGCTTGCATCCCTCACCTTGTGCTTGCATCCCTCACCTTGTGCTTGTATCCCTCACCTTGTGCTTGTATCCCTCACCTTGTGCTTGTATCCCTCACCTTGTGCTTGTATCCCTTATCCCTCACCTTGTGCTTGTATCCCTCACCTTGTGCTTGTATCCCTCACCTTGTGCTTGTATCCCTCACCTTGTGCTTGTATCCCTCACCTTGTGCTTGTATCCCTCACCTTGTGCTTGTATCCCTCACCTTGTGCTTGTATCCCTCACCTTGTGCTTGTATCCCTCACCTTGTGCTTGTATCCCTCACCTTGTGCTTGTATCCCTCACCTTGTGCTTGTATCCCTCACCTTGTGCTTGTATCCCTCACCTTGTGCTTGTATCCCTCACCTTGTGCTTGTATCCCTCACCTTGTGCTTGTATCCCTCACCTTGTGCTTGTATCCCTCACCTTGTGCTTGTATCCCTCACCTTGTGCTTGTATCCCTCACCTTGTGCTTGTATCCCTCACCTTGTGCTTGTATCCCTCACCTTGTGCTTGTATCCCTCACCTTGTGCTTGTATCCCTCACCTTGTGCTTGTATCCCTCACCTTGTGCTTGTATCCCTCACCTTGTGCTTGTATCCCTCACCTTGTGCTTGTATCCGGCATTGTGTTGCTTCCTCACAGACGGCTGTGCCACGGGGCGGGATAGAGAGGGTGGGGGGGGGGGGGGAGGGGGTGGGAAGGGTAGCAGGGCGAAGAGGTTGGGGAGAGCAAGGGGAGTGAATGAGGAGAGAAGGGAGAATAATGAAGGGCGCAACGGAGAGACTGAAGAGTACAAGTGGAGAGCAAGGGGGTGCAAGGGGAGTGCAGAGGAGGCAGCAACTGTGGCAGGCATTTGGGAGCGGAGATAGGCTGATGAATACGTGCAGTGACTGGTGCTAGAAAGGGTGGACGACAGGAGGCAACGGAAAAGAGGTGGAGACCGATGGGGAAGGAATGAGAGGGGTGATCAGCTGTGCCTATGTAAAACACTTCGAGATTGGAATCAGAAAAGGGGATGTGAAGAAGGGGAGCGGATGGGACAAAGGGGAAGGGTTGGAAAGGAAGGAGGGGATGGGATGGGAAGTAGCGGCGGAGATGGGACCGAGGGAGCGAGGGTGGGAGGAAGGCGAGGGGATGGGACGGAGAGGAGGGGATGAGAAGGAGGGGGGGGGGATGGCAACAAGGGGGGGTGAGGACAATAGAAGAGGAGGGCTGGGAGAAGGAGAGAGGGCCACAAAGCACGCGTGTGACTCTTACCGAGTCGTGAGTTAA